TCCATCCAGGGTTGATTCGCAGGCCATCACACGTTCAATTAAGCAACAGTTTTTAAGTCCATGGCCTACTTGGGGAGCAATACCTGATGACGACAAAAAGCCATTCTGGGAGCGTTTTCAGGTGAACAATCCATTAAACTAATTGTCATTCTTCTTTAGTATGTTCATCAATTAATGTTTGTTCTGTTTTATGTTACAGATGAAGGTGCAGTGGAAACTGAACATGAAAAACAGATACAAAGAAATTTCCACATGAAAGCATCTCATCGGCTATCAGAGATGTTTAGGGATGCCCGCAATGCAGGAGAGCGCCCTTACTGGTTGGGCGAGCAAATTTGGAACTCTTTACTGGCTCATTGGAATTCATTACAGTTTTGCAATAAGTGTGCTAAAGCCCAGAGGAACAGAGCTTTTGAAAAGGGTGGCACCCTGCATATTGATGGGTTGATCACGATTCATGAGCATGTCATTCATATGGTAAACTTTCATTACCTTTCTGTTTCTTTCATATATAAGTTATGTATTTTCTATTTCATATGTTGATGAGGTCTTTGCACAGACTCATGTTCGGAAGGATACTAATGAATTCGTTGATGAAAGATCTCGGAAGACTCATGTAAGCAAATAACACTAGAACTATTAGTAATTTTTAATTTATGTTATTCTATCATTCCCTAACATTGGTTTTGCATGTTTGAACAGGAAGAATTTTCTACGAGACTTTCACATGTTAGATCTGAACATGGGTCAGCTCCTACACCGGATGATGCGAGTAATGAAGAAGACGACATTCGTAGGACACAGTGTTGGGTCGACATCATTGGTGGGAAGAAAAAGGGACGAGTGTACGGTGCAGGACAACTTGCTGCAAACTATACAGCATCGAGAGGAGGTACTCTGAAGCATCAACCTTCTTCTTCCACCACTATTGCTGACGAGGCCGTTGCCTGCCTCACGCAGGTACTAGAGCAACGTGACCAGGAAATCACTGATTTGAGAGCAGAATTTAGAAACTTTAAGGCCCTGATCTTGAGAGTGTTGCCTGAGACTTCACAGGATCAATTCAATATCCCTCCGACCCAGCCACGACCCTCCCCGTCACTCGTTGTCCCTCAACATCCCACAACAGTCCAACCCTCATCAGTCCACCCGACATCAGTCCAACCCACACTAGTCCAACCATCTATAGATGAGCAGGATGATGAAGATCATTCTGATGATAACTATGTACATTATTAGTTTTATTTTGTTTTTAGTTGTTATAGAAACATTTGATATTAGAACATTTGGCATTTAGATATATTATTTGGATGTTAGATCAATTGGATGATTTGGATATTAGATCAATTGGATGATTTGGATATTAGAACATCATTATGTTACATTGTATAATGTTTTACTTATAAATACATGTTCTATGGATGATTGGATGATTCAGATGTTATATTGTCAGTCTGATCAATGATTGCATCATTGAGATGCACATTATGCAGGTATGTATGTTCTTGGAAAATGTTATGCAGGTCTGTTTGTGTTGTGAACAATTTATACAGGATTGTAGGGTTTCATAAGAAATACAATTGTGCCTTGGATCTGCCTCGAACTTACCGAAGGCTTATGCCCATCGGTAATTACCCACGTTAGGTAATTACCGAAGGCTTCCGCCCTTCGATAATCAACGAGGGCTTCCGCCCTTCGGTAATTACCGAGGGCTTGTGCCCTTGGGTAATTACTGAAGGCATGCGCCCTTCGGTAATTACCGAAGGCTTGTACCCTTTGGTAATTACCGAAGAGCGGAAGCCCTCGGTAAATCTTAGTGACATGTGATTTACCGAGGGCTCGTCGTCGATAAGTCGTCTGTAATTACCTTGTACCGACGGTTTTCGGGTGTTTTCGAGGCTTCTGGCCTTCGGTAATGCCCTTCTTTTTGTAGTGATCTGATCATGGTTGTGATGTCCACACATTCCCTTTAACCTAAACGGACACTCAGATTTACCAGTGCCGTATACACTAGCCACCACATCGGCTTTGTATTTTTGATATTTTCCACCACTTTCACATCAAAGTACGACAAACGTTCTTCTCTCGCGTATGTTCGTTCGTTCTTGAATATTAATTAAATAATATCTTATATTCCAAGCGTTCGTACAATTTAGTGCTAGGTCTTTCACCAAGCGATTGTGCTATTTACTCATAGTTCTTTTATTAAGCGCTCGTACGATTTAGAGCTAGGTCTTTCACCAAGCGTTCGTACTAATAGTGCTGGGTCTTACACCAAGCGCTCATTCTCTTTTCTATAATTTATATGGATGAAAATAGCGTTCGTCCAAACTCAATGGGTTCACCCTCTACCGTGCTCGACATTTGACTGGCATTCGGTTTTCTTGAGGATAAATTTATAAGTAAGCTAAGTATTTATAAGCGTTCGATTTCTTCATATGAGTCTTCTAAGTACTATTATTTGAATGTCTTGTAGTGTCTGTCTCCATTGGTTTCGGACTAGAGTCTTAGTACTCGGTCTAGGCTTTAAGATGTTCAGTTTAAATGCTCATGGTTCAGTTCATGAAATTGATTCACCTTGTAAATAACGTTTGATCCTTTTAAATCTTGTGAAATATTATTGAACCCGGTCTCTTTCAAATCCTGATGGTAATTCTCTCTCGGTTTTGATCTATTCTGGAACTGGAAACCTCTCGGTCTCAGTCCAAGTGTTCGGTCTCGCTAAAGGTTAAAGTTTTACGTTCGGTATTTTGTATCTTAAGTGATCTTAGTTAAAATTGAAGTTTAGAAAATGGAAGATGATGGAATATGATGTATATGAAATGTATTTGATTTTGAACGAGTATTCCGGGGAGGAATATCTCATTGAATGGATATTGGAATTTGGTAAAGTATGAATGTGGGCATGCTAAGCTGGTGGTTCATCCTGATGTTCTGTGATTACTCGTTCTCACGTAGAGAAGGGTAACTCATGTGTGGGAACGGGAGGAGGTCCTAGTCCTTATGGTTAATTTGGACAGATAGGACTAACCTCGGGTGGCAGCTGTTGAGGGTATCCCAGTTACTACATCACCCGAGTGCACGAACGTCGTAGCTACACAAAATTCATACAGTCCAGATAGTCAGTCTAGTATTAGGCTTTACATGAATGAGTTAATGAATTATCTTGTGTGATTGAATTGTGTGAAATATATCGTCATATATGAGTTGAATTACATAAGCTTACCCTATGTTTTCTGTCTTGTCTGTTTTGTACGTTCGGTTGTCTTTCTGTTGCAATGATCATCTATGTGGATGTGAGCAGAAGGAGACGAGCTGCTAGAAGAAGCGCTGGAAGAAGAAAATTTAGTCGAGGTAGAAGTTAAGACCGAACAGTAGAACCGTTCAGTCAGTAGTATAGTTTGATAGTAAGGTGATCGTTCGATCACCTTTTCCCTTTGCTTTTGTATGACTGTCCGGTGTTGGCTTTTGTAAACCGTTCGGTCAGAATTGCTTATCTTGTACAGTTTAAGTTTTTAGTTCTTTCTGTAAGGCCGTTCAGCGACAAGCGTACTTCTCTTTTAATGTAAGACTGATCTGTAATATTATCAAATGTGATTATTCTATTATATAGTTTTAGACTGTATTTTTGGGATGTTACATTGAACAATGGTGAATGGTGTCAAAGAGTAAAATGTTTCATTAAAATGTAGGAATATATAATTTTATGATTTTTCAAATGTGTTTTTTATATTATTTTCAATAAAATGGTTTTAATATTCTAAATCACAGTCTTAAAATATTTTTCTAATAATATTTAAAACAACTCAAGGTTTATGATAATTACAGTTTCTTATTTTACAAATTCATTACGTTGTCTTAGAAAAAGTATAGTTTTAGATTCACATTCGGTAATTATATTTTATGAATTAAATGGAGATGCTAATCACAAGCGAGACATGACAACTGTTAAATGTGAGATCAAACATCTTTTTTATAAAACTTTTCTAAATTTAAAATTGTTATTAAAACATATTTCATTTATTATATTTGATATTATTTTATATTATCATTAAATATTTATAATTTATTTCAATTTATTATTTATCTTTTCATGATAATGTCATAAATATTTATTTCATGTATCATATCTGATATATAATATAATTCTTAACAAAAGTAATCTCAAATTCATTTATTAAAGGTCTTTTAAAATCGTTTTAAGAAAAATAAAGTTTTTTAAAATGTGGTGACANTTTCAATGTGCATGAAATCAAGATTTAGCCTTAACAAATTATCCTTCCAATAGGGTAGATCCCAAAAGATGCTTTTTTTCGTCCAATTATGCCACTCACCGTATCCATCAATTATTGGTGCACCATTTTCAATTATTTTAGGATAACCATTGATTCTATTCCAAACTTTTGCTCCCGTAAGATATGGTGGTGCGTCATACATCTCAACTTCCCCCCCCTTCTTGAAGCATCCTATTCCTCCTAAAGGCAGTGGTCATTCGGGTAAAAACTCCGGATGGAGTCCAAACAACAAATGTTTTTACCCAGATATAATCTAAAGCCTTGTATGCTCAATGCAATGTGGTGCATGCCAGTTTACCATGAGTGTTGTAGCTGGAAAACATCAATAAGCAGGAAAATCAGTAAGGGTCCACCTCAGCATGGCCCTAAAATAAAGTTTTGTTTCTTGAAATATCATATGTTATCACACCGTCACATTATTCTTCAATCGTCAATCAAGGGCTCTAAGTACACATCTATGCCAAACCTTTGGATTGAATGGTCCGGGAATGAGGACATGTTCAAGAAACAGGTAAGGTTTAGACATGCAGATTTCATGGAGGAAAGATATAGGGGTGAATAATAACTGGCCCACATTGAATATGTATATTTGATGCTGTACATATGGGTTTAAAACCGTCAGAGCATTAAAAAACGAGTCGTTATTGTTGGATCGGATACCAAAGTCAGGATATACTTAGCAAAGTGCTTCCAAGCCTCGCACGCATGGATGACGCAAAACCACCCATTCGTGGACATGTTGATAGTGCCATGGTATTTGTCCTGCAGTTTGGTTGAGGCATACATTCTTGTAGTTTGGAATTAATGGCAAATAGAACATTGATTCATAGGAAACTTGTTTTGTAGTGTTGCTCCCGGGTTACGTGGTTGATATCTTGGCTTTCCACAAAATTTGCATTCAAGCAACGCGCATCATTCTTACCATATTCATTATCATAGAAGAGCATGCAAACATACACGCCAACAATCAATCCTCTACGATTGTAATCACAACTTGATACAACTTTTTGCATAGTAGTATGCTTTAGGCAAACATGCATTTGATGGGTGTTGCATCCAAACCATTTTGCAATAAAATCTATGCATTGTTAGGGACTATTCAATTTGACTTGCAAGCTAATAGGCTGACACACATTGTTAATTTCAAATCTGATGCTCCTTCATTACAACGGTTGGTTTGCATCAACAAAAAATTTAAAAACCTTGTGTTTCTTCATTCGGTGCCTCTTCAATGTTATTAGAAGTAGATCTTGGCACGACTCATTTTGCCTAAGAGCATCATGCACCATGTCTTCCAGTTTGAAATTTGGTTTTAAATTTGACCATGTTGCGTCTCTATCAACCATCAAACTTTCATAATTCTGTAACATCATCTTCTGGCATTCTTTCCCCATGATCCTCCCAAATGAAATAAAGTAGGCTTGAACCGTCTTTAAAGGTGAACCTTCACAACTCTTTCGTGCATAATCTTTGTACAATCGAACTTTAAACCTGGACATCGACAGACCCCCAATCTCTATGATAAACGTCTTGTTCACAAAGCTTTACTTATAAACTCTTCAACAACCCAATACAAATAGACTCGTTCAAAGCACCTCTTCATCTATGAACACTGATCGTACATCCATGAAACGATTTGGTTGAGCATGATCCATGTTCTGTACATAAATCGATTACAAAAACAATTAGCCAATGGTTAATTACACGTCTCCATCTTAGGACACGTGCCCTATCAAATGCTTCTAAAGAATAACCTAATCCTAAATAATTTAGGTCCTTAACAAATGTGTGGACCGGTGAGTGATTTATAGTGGAGTGAAACTCCTAATGATTAATAAAAACCAACCTTTCTGCTCGAATATGAATTCTTATGATATATGAGCAATTTTAGCAAGTTATTTAGGAGCAATGATGATAAATCTCTTACCCAACACTACTATTTATTGTGATTTTATTCAATTAAGATTTAACCTCACATACAAAACTAACATGTATTATTAAACTTTTATTGAGTTAAGTCTTTGTTTTTTGAGCTTCACAAGAACCTAATTTTCTTAGTGAAGTGTATACAGTGTGGCTGAAGATGACAAGAATGGCAGCTAGAATGTAGGTGTGAGTGGGACCTTCAAATCTTGACAACTCACTTAACCTTTCACATCCTCCGATATTATCAAAATTAATTACAAACTACCTAATCACACCACCCAAGATTCATGCTTACCACTACAAAAATAATAATTTTAGAGGGGGGTTTTCCGGTAGTTTTAGGAAACCCTGGATAATTTCGGCATTAGGTTTTTAATTAAAACCGAGTAAGTATTTTTTTTTTTTTAAATTCGGGCGTTTATAACCAAATCCGTCCCTGAATATATTTTTATTTTAAAATAATTTCGGTGGTTTAATATTAGATGACTTACCAAAGTAAGATTTTGAGGCAAATTAGACCAGGTTTTTTACGGTAGGCAAATAGCAAAGGTTTTTCCCCAATCCCTAATTCCCTTCCACACTTTCATTGATTCCCTTGCCTTCATCAGAAAGCTTTCCCTGATTTGTGTGCGTGTCGTGTTCGTCTGTGTTGTGTATTCCCCAGCTTGGGTGAGCATCGTGGTTGAGGCGGTGAGGTCGACGGGCAAGGTCGACGCGGTGAGGTCGAGGTATGTTCCTCTTCTTCTCTTTTACTCTAAACCTAATCTTCATCCAGCTCTCTTTTTTTTTTTGTTTTTTTTTTATATCTATTATCTTCATTTTTCATTCTAACCTAATCTTCATCATTTCTATGATAAGAATTTATTTGTGATTATTTTTTAATAGCAGAGACTTCAGGGTCATGTCATTCAGGTGGTTTAAACTTGATTTTGTTATATCAATGAATTGATTTATTTTGGTGAAAACCATTTATATATATATCCATGGTTATTTCATATACACAAGAAGGGGGTAAATGTTCATTGTAAATGGTGCATTGTTCTGGCCCAAAATTGACCAATATGAATCATTAGGTCAATGAAATGTTAGTGGAGACTCCATACTATATTTTATAAATCGCCTTGTGCTTCTTCGACTTCGGATCACAAAAATGAAATCAAAAGTTGCGTCAAGACAACTTTTTCACTTGCAGGTTCCGCGTTAGGGACAAACAACCGTGAATTTAATTTATTAATTTGAATGTTAAGTTTTCACTTGCAGGTTCAAATTTAGGTTCAGCTTTAGGGATAACTTTATGTTAAGTTATTAATATATGATATGTATTTTGATTCAATTTATCAATTTATGAAAATAATTTATGAATGCGGAACACTTGATTTGTTTTTTGGAATAGGTTTCATAGAGTATTTGATTCTATCAACGGTTTAGATTAGTAGTTCGATTCAGTCTAGTCTAGTTTTGATTCGTGTTTTTACTAAATTAGCTATAACCTATTGTTTTACTCTTTCCAGTTTAGTGCTGACAACAAACATAGCCAATTTGATTATTGTTTCTCTGTTACATGGCATGTGGTGTTTGAGGTTTTGATTGTGTACTTGATGTTTTTACTGATTTTTAATTATTTAATATATCTTCTTGTTCACAGATATGATTTTTTTGAATTTTAATCTAACCAATTCATACTTTTAGCAGAAGTACATGTGCATAAGTTTCATGACCATGATAGTCAAACTTCAAAGGGCTGCTGTATATGTTGTTGTTTGGAGTAAAAATATATACTTGAACCAAATAAAATTGAAGTAAAAGTCTTCTAATAGTGTAGTAAAAATAGCCCTTTGAAATCTGGTTCTAGAAATTAGAATCGCAACTCTTTAATCTGGTGTTGTTTCTGTTTGGACTAGAATCAAATGTTTGTGCATTGATAATTGTATATCTACTGATAATGAAATTGGGTGAATTGTTTTATCCGATTTAGATGATTTCACTATTTTATTAAATGTTGTATGTAGGAAAAAATTGAAGCATATGAATCTACAATATCATCGACTCAATCAAAAGAAATATCTAGTTCAGATTCATTGGCTCGTGCTTTAGGAATCAAAGAGCATTGTGGACGCGTTCGCGATTTAGGTTTGGGTCCTTGCCCATCTAAAGTCTTTGGAGTCCATGCTCGTTCTCATGGTGGATCATCTTCAACTTCTGTTTCTAATGTTGAATTACAAACTCAAGTTAATGAATATTTTATCAATTACTTGGTTTGTTCTTTTTATGATCAACTTCTTAGATATCATTTTTCTTAATTTTTAAATAATTTCATCTTTTAAAGGTATCTTCATTGACAACACAAGTCAATGAAATGAAGGCAGTGATATCATTATTGTTGCAAAATTATCCGGGTCAATTGCCTTCACAGCTTGCTACATTTCAACCATCATCGGTAATAATTGCTAAATTTATTTGTATGATCTTTTTTAAAAATATATAATCGACTAACTATTATGTTATATTGTAGGTATCTGATCAAGGAAGTGTGTCAAATGATGGATGTAATGAAAAAGGAGAACCTTAGAACTCTGCGTATTTAATTTTTAGTATTGAACATCTTTGTCCACCCTCGACCATATTACATATTATGTGTCTGTTCAGTGTTGAATTTTGGTCCTTATTCCAGAATTAGGACAGACATTTCTCTGCTCCCAGTGCCTTGAAAATAATTGTCTTCATGGTTGCTCTGATGTCTGCTATGTTACCAAGTTTTCTTTTCATCAGTATTTGCTACTTGTTATTAAAATTCTTGTAAATATTACTTTTTACTTGCCCTGGATATTTTTTTTGAACTTCTCGTTCATGTTTTGTATGGTTTTCTGAAAATGCATTATCTTTCTTTGCATTTTGCTTTGGGAGGAGGTGACATTAGCCTTGTTAGTTGGCTCCATAATAATAGTTTATTTTAATGTAATTGATTCTGAAATTCTTGAGATGTTGACTCTCAATGTTAAGTTGTAATGATCAATGCATAGTCAAATCCCTTGATTTATAGGGATTAAATATTGTAATTACAGCATGAAAATCCTTTCCTAGTAATTGTTATTTACACCTGCAATATAGAAGTAAATAAATGGATTTTATTTAGGTAAATATAAGGAAACAAATAATGTTCTAATATCATTAGTATTATTGAGAGGTACTTGATTTTATTGTAGATTTCTAATATCATTTTATTGACACTGTTAGATAGGTCTTTGCTGCATCAGAATTACGAAATTCTCCAATTCCAAAAAAAAAAAAATCTGCATGCATTTCCGGCGTTTTTTAATAAACCCCTGGAAAGTTTCGAACTCAGCTACTTCCGGCGGTTATATAACCCCGATTAGTTCCGGCGGTTTTCAAAAAACCCTGGAAAAGGTACAGTTTGTAGAATCTAGTGAGTGCCGGCGATTTCTAATAAACCGCTGTTAGTAGGGGCGGTTTTGCCGAGCCCCGGTTAGTTTCGGCGGTTCCCAAAACCCCTAGAAATTGGAAAAAAACCTCCGTTACCTTTGTGACGCTGGTTTTCCCAATGGTTCCTATAACCCCTGGAAACATATTTACCAGGGATTAAAACCCCAGTAATGTTAAAAAAAACCCCATCTAAAATTGGATATTTTTGTAGTGTAGGCGGATGTATATTTCCTTACTTTATACTTATTTCTCATTTCAATGTTTGTTAAAGAAACATATTTTATACGTCAAAAAAATTACAATACTTAAGTTAAAATAACTATATATATCCATTTATTTTTAAACTTTAAAAAACAAAATTTTATGTTAGAGTTCAAGATTAAAAATATATTTAATGTTATTTACTATTTACAAACTATCTTAACTTAATAATATATTGCGATAAATAAAATCTATTTTGTTCAAGTAACATGAGTTTTTAAACTATTTTTGTGAGAAATGACTGATGTAAAGAATACTCCTATGATTCAAATAACATCCCATATATTCTATTTTATTACGAGAAAACTGCTAAAAATTGTTGAACAATGGTGAATGGTGTCAAAGAGTAAAATGTTTCATTAAAATATAGCAATATATAATTTTTATGATTTTTCAAATGTGTTTTTTATATTATTTTCAATAAAATGGTTTTAATATTCTAAATCACAGTCTTAAAATATTTTTCTAATAATATTTAAAACAACTCAAGGTTTATGATAATTACAGTTTCTTTTTTTACAAATTCATTACTTTGTCTTAGAAAAAGTATAGTTTTAGATTCACATTCGTTAATTATATTTTATGAATTAAATGGATATGCTAATCACAAGCGAGATATGACAACTGTTAAATGTGAGTTCAAACATCTTTTTTATAAAACTTTTCTAAATTTAAAATTGTTATTAAAACATATTTCATTTATTATATTTGATATTATTTTATATTATCATTAAATATTTATAATTTATTTCAATTTATTATTTATCTTTTCATGATAATGTCATAAATATTTATTTCATGTATCATATCTGATATATAATATAATTCTTAACAAAAGTAATCTCAAATTCATTTATTAAAGGTCTTTTAAAATCGTTTTAAGAAAAATAAAGTTTTTTAAAATGTGGTGACAATTTTAATTTTTTTTAAATAAAAATTTTGGTTTTAAAATAACTTAAGTTTATATTAGTATATGCTTCCGTTCAGGTCTATTTGTATGTTAGGGTTAAAATTATATTTTTACTAGAGTATTTTTTATTTTCGTTCATGGGCGTTAGTTCTTCACTGCAAAAGTAATTTTGCTTTCTTTCTCATCATTATATGTAAACCACATTGTCACTTTTGATGTCAACCAATATGTTGTTAATTTTTTAAAAACATATATATAAATATTACAAAGAGAAGACTAAGTTTCTTTGAACACTTCAATGTCATCAAATTAAACAAAACACAAAAAAGAAATGACATTTAACCTCTTTTTCACTTATGGGTATCTCCTTCACTTGCCAAGAAATGAAAAAAATTACCAACATAACTAAAAAACAATATAAACTAGGCATATGACAGACAATGTTTAAATAATATATGCACCAATAGTGAAGAAGTTTGTTGCATG